GAAAAAACCCCTTCCTTAGGGACTATCATTGGCCAAAGATCAAGCCTAGGCTCAGAGCCAACTAGCCTAAACACAACTAATCTCAACTGCCCAGCTCTTCACTCCTCTACAACCACCGTTTTCCCCTGCGGACACTTCGAATAAACACGAAATGCTCTATACTACGTTATTTTCCTCTCCCCTTCTTTCTACTTGGGGAATTCTGCTACACCAATTCTGGCACCTATCTCCCTTTCTCCGCTGCTCTAGCTCTTCTTCTTCCTCCCTGAAGCCGAACGCGAACACACTCCAGCAGCCGCCTCAGGGGTTTACGCCGACGTGGGGTTGCACTTACGCTTTCAACACCCCAGTCTGCTTCTTACATACCTCATTCGAGTACTCTTGCTTAGCTGCCAATCCTCGACCCACACAGCCAACCACATGTACTCTGAATTCCCATCACCTCTTTGGGCAGGCAGTCTGTCCATGTTACCCATGAGCACCTGTTCCAGAGTACAACGCCCTCTGCGTCTTTGTTTGCGGATCTCGGACTGCCCCTCCCTGTCCTTGACCCGCAGTGGGTGGACCCTCAGCAGCTGCTCATCTTTTGGATACTATTATTGACAGGAATTTCCCTCCAAGGATCAACCATCTTATTTCCCTGGACACTGTTGGCCAGCCAGGGAACATCCTAATCCAACAGGTCTTTACTGCCTAACCCTGGTGCCCTTGGTGGCCCTGGCTCTCTATGAAGTCCATGGCCCCAGGGGGCCCCATCTCCCTCTACACGAACATACCTCTCCAAGTCTTGCCCCCCGAACCCGGCTTCACCTCACCCTGAGACTGCCTGACCTCCGCCGCGTCCGCTTCGCTTCTTCTCCTCCTCCTCGCCGCTTTGCGCTTCTTTCCTGTCTCCACCCTCGGCTTCCTCCTGACATGACTTTTACCGTTGCCCAACTTTGTTTTCACACCGGAAATCCCTCCCTCCTAGAATCAGACCCTACCTGTTCAGGCCAGACAGGTGGCCGACCATCCTTACCAGCACTGTCAGGCGCGGGCCCCCTCAAGGTGGAAGGATCAGAGGCCCCCTCAGTCTCCGAGGGGTTGAGTGCCCCCTATGATCATGCCACTGTTACTCCAGCTGGGTGGCAAGGAGGCAATCTGTGTTTCCTAAGCAAGAAGCAATCCAGATCCAACTCTTCCAAGCAGCACATATTCTGCCTGGTACCAAGGTCACCTCGGCCCATCCCTGTAATCCTTTAGTGGGCCTTTTCAAGTATTCTTCTGTATTCGAAATTACCCATAATTCGGGGACGATAACAAGAAAACATGACACGATTACCCTCGCATTCCCTAGAGGACTATCTAGTTAAAGGTCTCTTTACATCAGCAACAGTGGTTCCCTACTGCCTACTCGAAAGCCGTTTTAAACCCAACATTCATACAATAACACAATACCCACAAATAATTATAACGTAAACACTATAGAATCCTTTGGATCTATCTATCTTTTGAAGAGGGTCACGCCCTCTCTTCTTTCATGCAAGTTGGACTCTTAAGCCTGGAGTTCTCTTGTTTTTCCCCTCGGTATCAATTCCATTTGTAATGAACTTATCTTTGAGTTCAGTTTTGGGAGGATTCTAAAGGCGTAAAAGGCTTGAAACATTGTGACAAGTAATTCGACTTCTAGATTTCTTAATCCCCATTTCCTAAACAGTTGTCCTACCCACCAATGCTGACAACATTTTCTTTTTAGCACTGTATTTTACTGGGACTCATTTTCAAAGTATTCACCTGTATTTGCAGGGAGACCTAACACTTCTTTTTTTTTTTTTTTTTTTTTTTTGAGCAGAGTCTCACTTGTGCCCAGGCAAGTGACGTGCCGTGGCGTCAGCCTAGCCCAGCAACCTCCACCCTGGCCTCAGCACACTTCTGCCTCAGCCTCTCAAGTAGCTGGGGGACTACAGGCTGCGCCACCATGCCCCGGCTAATTTTTTTGTATATATATTTTTTAGTTGACCAACTTAATTTCGTTTCCTATTCTTTGGCTCAGGAGACGGGGTTCTTGCTCAGGCTGGTTTCGAACTCCTGACCTTGAGCAATCCGCCCGTCTCGGCCTCCCAAAGTGCTAGGATTACAGGCGTGAGCCACCGCGCCCGGCCTAACACTTCTTTACATTTATGTTTAATTAGTTTATATAATATTTAATTGATTACATAATGACAGTTACATGTAAAATTGGCATAATCACAGTTGGCAGAGCACGGTGGCTCATGCCTGTGATCCTAGCATTCTGGGAGGCCGAGGTGGGAGGATCAAGAGTGAGACCCCCATTTCTACTAAAAATAGAAATTAATTGGCCAACTAAAAACATATAGAAAAAATTAGCCGGGCATGGTGGCGCATGCGTGTAGTCCTAGCTACTCAGGAGGCTGAGGCAGGAGGATCGCTTGAGCGATCCCCAGGAGTTTGAGGTTGCTGTGAGCTAGGCTGACGCCATGGCACTCTAGCCCAGGCAACAGAGTGAGACTCTGTGAAAAAAAAAAAAAAAAGAATCACAATTGACTTTTGATAGCCATATGACTCAACTGCTTGGAGAAGCACATGGATGTAATGTAGAATATCCTACTAGCTATAAGTCCTACTGGTCAGGAGCAGCAGAGGGAATTTGGAAGATTGGTTAATGATGAATCAGTTAAGAGATTTTCAATGCTGCTCCAATGACATCAATTTTTCAATAGAGATCTGTGAGTAATAAACTGTAAAATATCACTCGTTTAATAATGATATTATAGAATAGTAAAATATACATCTCTCAAGGCATACTATTTAGCATGCCTATTTCAACTATGTATAAAGCTTGCTCTGTTAGTATTTTTCCAAGGTTTGAGCAATTAGATCTACTGAGAAAAGAATGGATAAATAACAAAATTCACTTAGTCTTGTGCTATGAATAAAAGCTGGGATTTCTACGCTGGGTGCAGTGGCTCATGCCTGTAGTCCTAGCACTCTGGGAGGCTGAGGTGGGTGGATCACTTAAGGTCAGGAGTTCGAAACTAGCCTGAGCAAGAGTGAGACCCTGTCTCTACTAAAAATAGAAAGAAATTAATTGGACAACTAAAAATATACAGAAAAAATTAGCCGGGTATGGTAGCACATGCCTGTAGTCCCAGCTACTCGGGAGGCTAGACAGGAGGATTGCTTGAGCCCAGGAGTTTGAGGTTCCTGTGAGCTAGGTTGTCGCCACGGTACTCTAGCCAGGGCAACAGAGTGAGACTCTGTCTCAAAAAAAAAAAAGCAAAAGCAAAGCTGCAATTTCAGCAGAGAGGGAAAGGATGAAAAACATGCAGAGAAAATTTCTTTATAATTAGGTAAATGTGTGTGTGTGTGTACATGTGTGCAATTGCACACATACACATTTACATTTATATACTATTACATACATAATAGTAAGCATTTATTAATTTGAGATACAGAAGAAAAGAGACATAAATCCAGTCCTCAAAGAGATTAGAATCTAAGGAAATTGAACAGAAATGCTTTCTTTTTTTTTTTTTATTTGAGACAGAGTCTCACTCTGTTGCCCAGGCTAGAGTGAGTGCCGTGGCATCAGCCTAGCTCACACCAACCTCAAACTTCTGGGCTCAAGCGATCCTTCTGCCTCAGCCTCCTGAGTAGCTGGGACTACAGGCATGTGCCACCATGCCCGGCTAATTTTTTCTATATATTTTTAGTTGGCCAATTAATTTCTTTCTATTTTTAGTAGAGAC